CAATGAACCGAACAAAATACACAGTCAATCCTTAAAAATATATATTGTGAACATCATCGTCTTTTGTATAATTTATTTGTTTGTTGTTTAATGCCGCACTCAGCAATATTCCAGCTATATGACAGCGGTCTGTAAATAATCGAGTCTGGACCAGAAAATCCATTAAGAGCATCGATCTACGCACTTGGGATACGATGACATGCATCAACCAAGTCAGCAAGCCTGACCACCCGATCCCGTTAGTCGCCTCTTACGACAAGCAAAGTCGCATTTTACGGCAAGCATGGGTTGCTGAAGACTTATTCTACCCCGGATCTTCATGGGTCCCTTTCGTATAATGTCATGACTGTATACTCCTCAATATTGTCCTCCTGTGTATAAGAAGAATTACGTCCAACTCTAGCATAGTAGCATAACACAAACATCCAAGGAGTTGTTATATCCACTATACAAAAACTTGAATTATACTTATATCCCACCAAGGAGTGGCATCATAATTTTAACTGTTTGTCGATTAAATACATAGTTGCATGCGACGATTAACGGTACAATCGGTGCGCTCCTGTTAATGAACTGGGTCGGCCTCTGACAATGCCGATCAGGTTTCGTAGGTAGATGTATTACATAACATGGCGCAAGGTCAGTGACCCTTTATCCTGTACATATAACATCCGGAATCATGAAGGGGTATAAAAGACATTTATAGATACTGCTGGAGAGTAAGGATCCTAGATACTGGTGGAGAGATAAGGTCCTAGATACTGGTGGAGAAATAGGGTCCTAGATACTGGTGGAGAGATAGGGTCCTAGATACTGGTGGAGAGATAGGGTCCCAGATACTGGTGGAGAGATAGGGTCCTTGATACTGGTGGAGAGATAGGGTCCTAGATACTGGTGGAGAGATAGGGTCCCAGATACTGCTGGAGAGATAGGGTCCTAGATACTGGTGGAGAGATAGGGTCCCAGATACTGGTGGAGAGATAGGGTCCCAGATACTGGTGGAGAGATAGGGTCCCAGATACTGATGGAGAGAAAGGGTCCTAGATACTGGTGGAGAGATAGGGTCTTAGATACTGGTGGAGAGATAGGGTCCTAGATACTGGTGGAGAGATAGGGTCTCAGATACTGGTGGAGAGATAGGGTCCTAGATACTGGTGGAGAGATAGGGTCCCAGATACTGGTGGAGAGATAGGGTTCTAGATACTGGTGGAGAATAAGGGTCCCAGATACTGGTGGAGAGATAGGGTCCCAGATACTTGTGGAGAGATAGGGTTCCAGATACTGGTGGAGAGATAGGGTCCCAGATACTGGTGGAGAGTAAGGGTCCTAGATACTGGTGGAGAGAAAGGGATCTAGATACTGCTGGAGAGAAAGGGTCCTAGATCTGGTGGAGAGATAGGGTCCTAGATACTGCTGGAGAGAAAGGGTCCTAGATACTGGTGGAGAGAAAGGGTCCTAGATACTGCTGGAGAGATAGGGTCCTAGATACTGCTGGAGAGATAGGGTCCTAGATACAGCTGGAGAGATAGGGTCCTAGATACTGCTGGACAGAAAGGGTCCTAGATACTGCTGGAGAGTAAGGGTCCTAGATACTGGTGGAGAGATAGGGTCTTAGATACTGCTGGAGAGATAGGGTCCTAGATACTGGTGGAGAGATAGGGTCCTAGATACTGGTGGAGAGTAAGGGTCCTAGATACTGCTGGAGAGATAGGGTCCTAGATACTGCTGGAGAGTAAGGGTCCTAGATATTGCTGGAGAGTAAGGGTCCTAGATACTGCTGGAGAGATAGGGTCCTAGATACTGCTGGAGAGATAGGGTCCTAGATACTGCTGGAGAGATAGGGTCCTAGATACTGGTGGAGAGATAGGGTCCCAGATACTGGTGGAGAGATAGGGTCCTAGATACTGGTGGAGAGATAGGGCCCTAGATACTGATGGAGAGTAAGGGTACTAGATACTGGTGGAGAGTAAGGGTCCTAGATACTGGTGGTGAGATAGGGTCCTAGATACTGCTGGAGAGTAAGGGTCCTAGATACTGCTGGAGAGATAAGGTCCTAGATACTGCTGGAGAGATAGGGTCCTAGATACTGGTGGAGAGATAGGGTCCTAGATACTGGTGAAGAGATAGGGTCCTAGATACTGCTGGAGAGATAGGGTCCTAGATACTGGTTGAGAGATAGGGTCCTAGATACTGGTGGAGAGTAAGGGTCCTAGATACTGCTGGAGAGAAAGGGTCCTAGATACTGCTGGAGAGTAAGGGTCCTAGATATTGCTGGAGAGTAAGGGTCCTAGATACTGCTGGAGAGATAGGGTCCAAGATACTGGTGGAGAGTAAGGGTCCTAGATACTGCTGGAGTGATAGGGTCCCAGATACTGCTGGAGAGAAAGGGTCCTAGATACTGGTGGAGAGTAAGGGTCCTAGATACTGCTGGAGAGATAGGGTCCTAGATACTGCTGGAGAGATAGGGTCCTAGATACTGGTGGAGAGATAGGGTCCTAGATACTGTTGGAGAGTAAGGGTCCTAGATACTGCTGGAGAGATAGGGTCCTAGATACTGGTGGAGAGTAAGGGTCCTAGATACTGCTGGAGAGATAGGGTCCTAGATACTGGTGGAGAGATAGGGTACTGCTGGAGAGTAAGGGTCCTAGATACTGTTGGAGAGTAAGGGTCATAGATACTGCTGGAGAGTAAGGGTCCTAGATACTGGTGGAGAGTAAGGGTCCTAGATACTGCTGGAGAGATAAGGTCCTAGATACTGGTGGAGAGTAAGGGTCCTAGATACTGGTGGAGAGTAAGGGTCCTAGATACTGCTGGAGAGATAGGGTCCTAGATACTGGTGGAGAGTAAGGGTCCTAGATACTGCTGGAGAGTAAGGGTCCTAGATACTGCTGGAGAGATAAGGTCCTAGATACTGGTGGAGAGATAGGGTCCTAGATACTGGTGGAGAGATAGGGTCCTAGATACTGGTGGAGAGATAGGGTCCTAGATACTGCTGGAGAGATAGGGTCCTAGATACTGGTGGAGAGATAGGGTCCTAGATACTGGTTGAGAGATAGGGTCCTAGATACTGGTGGAGAGTAAGGGTCCTAGATACTGCTGGAGAGAAAGGGTCCTAGATACTGATGGAGAGTAAGGGTCCTAGATATTGCTGGAGAGTAAGGGTCCTAGATACTGCTGGAGAGATAGGGTCCTAGATACTGCTGGAGAGTAAGGGTCCTAGATACTGCTGGAGAGATAGGGTCCCAGATACTGCTGGAGAGAAAGGGTCCTAGATACTGGTGGAGAGTAAGGGTCCTAGATACTGCTGGAGAGATAGGGTCCTAGATACTGCTGGAGAGATAGGGTCCTAGATACTGGTTGAGAGATAGGGTCCTAGATACTGTTGGAGAGTAAGGGTCCTAGATACTGCTGGAGAGATAGGGTCCTAGATACTGGTGGAGAGTAAGGGTCCTAGATACTGCTGGAGAGATAGGGTCCTAGATACTGCTGGAGAGATAGGGTACTGCTGGAGAGTAAGGGTCCTAGATACTGTTGGAGAGTAAGGGTCCTAGATACTGGTGGAGAGTAAGGGTCCTAGATACTGCTGGAGAGTAAGGGTCCTAGATACTGTTGGAGAGTAAGGGTCCTAGATACTGGTGGAGAGTAAGGGTCCTAGATACTGCTGGAGAGAAAGGGTCCCAGATACTGGTGGAGAGATAGGGTCCTAGATACTGGTGGAGAGATAGGGTCCTAGGTACTGGTGGAGAGATAGGGTCCTAGATACTGGTGGAGAGATAGGGTCCTAGATACTGTTGGAGAGATAGGGTCCTAGATACTGCTGGAGAGATAGGGTCCTAGATACTGGTTGAGAGATAGGGTCCTAGATACTGGTGGAGAGTAAGGGTCCTAGATACTGCTGGAGAGAAAGGGTCCTAGATACTGCTGGAGAGTAAGGGTCCTAGATACTGCTGGAGAGTAAGGGTCCTAGATACTGCTGGAGAGATAGGGTCCTAGATACTGCTGGAGAGATAGGGTCCTAGATACTGCTGGAGAGAAAGGGTCCTAGATACTGGTGGAGAGTAAGGGTCCTAGATACTGCTGGAGAGATAGGGTCCTAGATACTGCTGGAGAGATAGGGTCCTAGATACTGGTGGAGAGATAGGGTCCTAGATACTGTTGGAGAGTAAGGGTCCTAGATACTGCTGGAGAGATAGGGTCCTAGATACTGGTGGAGAGTAAGGGTCCTAGATACTGCTGGAGAGATAGGGTCCTAGATACTGGTGGAGAGATAGGGTACTGCTGGAGAGTAAGGGTCCTAGATACTGTTGGAGAGTAAGGGTCATAGATACTGCTGGAGAGTAAGGGTCCTAGATACTGCTGGAGAGTAAGGGTCCTAGATACTGCTGGAGAGATAAGGTCCTAGATACTGTTGGAGAGTAAGGGTCCTAGATACTGGTGGAGAGTAAGGGTCCTAGATACTGGTGGAGAGAAAGGGTCCCAGATACTAGTGGAGAGATAGGGTCCTAGATACTGGTGGAGAGATAGGGTCCTAGGTACTGGTGGAAAGATAGGGTCCTAGATACTGGTGGAGAGTAAGGGTCCTAGATACTGTTGGAGAGTAAGGGTCCTAGATACTGGTGGAGAGATAAGGTCCTAGATACTGCTTGAGAGTAAGGGCCCTAGATACTGCTGGAGAGATAAGGTCCTAGATACTGCTGGAGAGTAAGGGTCCTAGATACTGCTGGAGAGTAAGGGTCCTGTCCGAATGTTTGCTGAATATATTAGACATACAGAAGAGAGAGAATGTCGGCGCACGTTGGAAACATATTGAAACAATTAGGTATTTTGGATAAATGAAGTTTATAAGAATCTTATTGAAGTGGTTTCCACTATGACAGTCGCAATACAAAGTAAGGACTGACAGACAATACCTGTACGCGGTTACGTCAGTGACATGGAAGTATGAACATGGTATCGAGTTAGATCAGTGGGATTCCTAACAAAGATTATGAAACAGGATCTGATGATCGCAATAACAAATTTAATCGACATGTTCGTGTGATAAAACTGGTTAGATGACGTTGACACATCTCCCCACAAGCAATTACATGTATTCGGTCCAACTAAATAACGTCCGGGAGCGTCCGGGCAACACCTGTGAGAGCATGAACAACATCATCACATTTAGTACCAATTGGAAATCATTACAAATTCCGGATTTGATAAAGAAACTTTACACAACAGTAGGAATTCAGTATGCTGACATGCGCCGTGCCCTCTATAGGGCAACCAACAACTGACACCCTAGATGGCAGTCTTTAAATTGCCTAATGCCTAAATATTTCTTACCTTCTTACTTGTACTTAGTTTTTGTTGTTGGGTTTTTGCTGTGTTTTATTTATTTGTACGCCATTGACAGTGGCTATTCTGCAGATCGTACCCCACTCGGTAGACACACCTGGTGCGATCTGCAGGGAGGACGAGATTGTGTCCATTGTTCACGCTACACCGTGATCTGACAGCAATGTAGATTCAGCTGAGTAGTTTATAGAAATCTCCCTGATCCCTCGCACAGCACCCATGCATGAACAGACCTGTCTGTACAGTTAGACTGAACACCCGGGCGTGAATATGCAGTCCCAAAGGGACCACGTTGTAATTCCGAGATAGTTGAACATATTCGCTATTGCGAGGCATCAACAGCATCGATTAACTAACAGTATTATAGATTCATAGAGATACGATTGCATACGTGAGACATCAAGCAAACTGCACGTGTGTAGATATTGCAACTGTATGGTGAAAAACCAGTGGTAATAAGTATGCACACGCCATCGGATAAAATTACACACAGCCAGGTCACATAACACATCCCCTACCCCTCCTTTTGTGGACAAACAATAAGCACTATGTGTTAGGGTCTCCTCAGTCCCAAAACTTCCAGCGCATACACGAACCAGGCAAGGCCGTGTCATTCCTAACAGGTGGAAGAAGACAGCGATGTATCGTCCTCATCAGGTATTTGATACCTGCAGTGCAGTAGACATGTCACTAGACAGTACAGCACGAACTAGACGGAGGAGTGCTGACCTACAGCTTTGTGGACGTACGTATTACTATGCCAGAGCTGGTCCACTTCCTCCTGACAGCGCAGCAAGCCCTTCCTCTTCATGTCGTCTTCAAGGAGCACCGTCTACACAGGCAGTGGGAAGCATTAATACACTACATCGTAATTAACAAAACAACACTCCGACAGACAAAACAGAGCAATAAATTACTTACATAATGTCATCCACAAAACAACACTCCGACAGGTGAAAACAGAATCGTGTATTCCTTGAACAATGTCATTCACAAACCAACATTCCGACAGGTGGAAATATAATCATGCACTCCTTGAACAATGTCATTCATAGACCAACACTCCGACAGGTGGAAATATAATCATGTACTCCTTGAACAATGTCATTCATAGACCAACACTCCGACAGGGGGAAATATAATCATGTACTCCTTGAACAATGTTATTCGTAAACCAACACTCCGACAGGGGGAAATATAATCATGTACTCCTTGAACAATGTTATTCGTAAACCAACACTCCGACAGGGGGAAATATAATCATGTACTCCTTGAACAATGTTATTCGTAAACCAACACTCCGACAGGGGGAAATATAATCATGTACTCCTTGAACAATGTCATTCACAAAACAATAGTCCGACAGGGGGAAATATAATCATGCACTCCTTGAACAATGTCATTCATAGACCAACACTCCGACAGGTGGAAATATAATCATGTACTCCTTGAACAATGTCATTCACAAAACAATAGTCCGACAGGGGGAAATATAATCATGTACTCCTTGAACAATGTCATTCGTAAACCAACACTCCGACAGGTGGAAATATAAACATGTACTCCTTGAACAATGTCATTCACAAAACAATAGTCCGACATGTGGAAATTTAATCATGCACTCCTTGAACAATGTCATTCATAAAACAACACTCCGACAGGTGGAAATATAATCATGCACTCATGAGCACAATTTGTTACTGACCTTTCCAAACTTTGTTTTTGGATACTTCTTGAAATGTTCAGGGTTGTTGATGGGAGGGAGAGGTTGTGTTTTCCTTGCATTCCTTTCTCGTCGTCTCTGAAATACCGTCATTATAAAACATACAGATAGACACGAAAACACATGCTGAAGCAGCTCGTTGTTGTTTTGTTGTTGCTTTAAGTGTTTAAGGGGTCCTCTTCTGCTGACCCGTCCCTTTTTTGACCGAAGCAGCTGGAAATGGACGTAGGCATATATATTTGTCTGTAGAAGGAGGAATGGAAACAGATATATGGACAGTTCTACCTGTTGCTCCCGTGCCAGTATCCTTGTCTCAGTCTCCTCTGCGCGGCGCCTCATCTCTGTTCTCTGTCTGGCCACCTTGTCGTGGAGGCGCTGGATATAGCTGTCATACCTGGCCAGCTGTTCCCTGGCAATCGTCTCAAGTCTCAGAGTCCGCATCTGCAGGTTGACACAATACCTCAGCCAAGATTGGCAACCCTACTATTCGTACCTGTATTCATTGTCATTAATACATATTATATTTATCATTTAAGTAACAACCCTGTCGCAGGGTATAGAAGCGACTGTTAAAGAAGACTGTGACAGCTTCTTTCTCCTACGACATGGCCTTCTCAAAGATGACTCCCAAACTGCGAGCTTGATCCAGTAATAATGGTGCTTAGGAGTTCCTTGGATGTTAAGCTCTGTCTTATAATCGTTCAACTATAAAACAATCTTGCTGACCTCCAACGACGTTATACAGCATTTCGTCTGTTTTTTACATATATTCACATTGGCGGGTTTGACACCAAGATAAAACTGATTATCATCAGCATACCCATGAAGATTAAGTCCATGTTTTCGTATTACATTGCCTACAGGCAGAATGTACAAAGAAAGCAAAACCGGTCGCAAAACTGAGCCCTGAACTTGCATAGAAGAGGCAGTCGCTAGTCTTGGGTGTAACATTTGACCTTGAGGTGCTTACCAGTGAAGGTAATGAACAAGGCACAACCACGTGAAGATTGGGTTAGTTTCGGTCATCGGTAACCCACGCGTGTCCTAAGGGGCGACTAACAGGATCGGATGGTCAAGTTCGATGACTTGGTTGATTCATGTCATCGTACCAATTGCGTAGATCGATACTCATGGTGTCAATCACTAGATTGTCTGGATCAGAAACGATTCTTACAGACCGCCGTCATTTGGCTGGAATGTGGAACACTGGCGTAAGGCATTAAACAAAATATGACAAGAAAAACAAAAACTCAATGCATATTTGAGGTATATTCAATTGATGGTTTATCAAAAGTCGATTCCAATTGACGGCCGAAGTTTTAAATTGCTATTCCATGAGAAAAAGAATTTTCTGCCTTCATACGATGGTTGGCGTCTTCATGGCTGAATACTGAACACATCTATATAGTGAGAACGACCTCAGTTGGCAGCACCACGATCACCACGATGACCACCGCAGGCTCTGCATTGTGCACAGCTGACCGAGAGACACTTGTCACTACACCGATGACCTTCTGTAGTTTGAAAGATCTGATTGCAGAAGGAATACATTATCTAACACTGTCTGTTTAAAAACCTAACACGGCCAGGAAGTCGTAGTACAAGCAAGTTAAGTAGTAACTTTCTTCTCTTTATCATGAAAGAGTTAGTGAATATGGTTTTACGCCGCTTTTAGCAATATTCCAGCAATATCACGACGGGGGACACCAGAAATGGGCTTTGACACATTGTACCCATGTCGGGAATCGAACCCGGGTCTTCGGCCTGAACCACTAGGCTACCCGACCGCCCCTTATCATGAAAGAAATATTGGGCAAGAAGGTTCTTTCATATTAACTAAACTTTGAAAATCAGGAACCAAAGTAGTCGAGCAACAATGATTTCACTACCATGAATGCATTACAGCCACCACCAGCCTTGCGATGTGTGTGTGTTTGTGTGTGTTTGTGTGTGTGTGTGTGTGTGTGTGTGTGTGTGTGTGTGTGTGTGTGTGTGTGTGTGTGTGTGTGTGTGTGTGTGTGTTTGTGTGTGTGTGTGTGTGTGTGTGTGTGTGTGTGTGTGTGTGTGTGTGTGTGTGTGTGTGTGTGTGTGTGTGTGTTACATCTTCCCGGTGATGTAATAGCCTTTGTACATATGAACATGCAATCATACACGGAGAACAACCAGGGTATCTCATCCATCATCACTCCCTGTCATCCTCTCCCTCTGTGGGATGTCAATGAGTGAGTGAGATGTTACCTTACCTCCGCCTTCCCCTTCTTCTCCACGACTGTCCCTGGACTATCCAGATCGTCTCTGCTCTGTCTCATTCTCTTACGTTGCTCCTTCTCTTTGATTCTGTGGGACCAGTGCACCTACGTACACGACACATAACATGATCTGACATCAGCACCATTTACCATGTCTATACTGTATATATATGGCTTGTCAAAACTCCTTTATCCACACAAGATCTTTCGCGGTTCAATGGTTCTTCAGGTGTAATGAAAACTTAAACTTACATTGTAGTACTAGGCGACGCATAAAGCATATGACGTCCTAGCTAGTGATAATAGCGGGAGGCATGAATACATTATGGTGTGAACAAACCCACATTGAGCTACATGGGGAAGGTTTCCAAATTATACTTTTGAATTAAGTTTGGGTTTCAAAAGCCTAATGAACATCTGTTCTTTTTCCATTCGTAAATATTTGTCATTGTAAAACAATTTATAAAACAGAAAGACAGTAAAATGACCACTCCCGCATTCATCAATGTGTTGCTTTCATTTTGTACAACGTACATTTGGATCTCGAATTTGTTGTCTGATTCGGTCTTTTAGTTGCATACCAGTTTCTCCAATATAATGCTCATCACATCCCGCACATGTTAAAACATATACAACATCTTTACTGCGACACTTCATGTTGGTTTTCACAGTAAATATACTGAACAGCAAAAGAAACGTCATCCAAATAATATTGCATGAAAAGTTGTCTGGAAAAATGAAATTTGATGATGAAAAAATCAAAGCAAATGACAATAAAACCAATCGCCCAAACGCATCACGGCAACGGCCATGGTAACCCGATGCACGTGAGTTCCGTGCAAATTGAAATGCACATGCGTTCCCCCATTCCTTTCCCTATAAAAATCCACCCAGATCAGATGACATTCATTCGTTATTGAATTGCTACCACATGCTAAGATTGACAAGAAATCAGCGACAACAAGCCCTCGGACGATTGCAAGCTTGACAAACCGCCCGGCAAGTAGCCAATGCATTTCAAGTCCACACAAGGCCCATATACAGGCTCTGGCAACGGTGCCATACCGCCAACACTACAGATGACCGATCACGTAGAGGAAGACCAAGGGTCACCACCCGACGTCAGGATAGTCAGGTTGTGCGACAGCATCTTCAAGATTGCTTTATTTCTGCTGCGGAAACTGCTCGACTGACCATGGGGACACACAAGATACTGACTTGTGATGCCATTTTCTCAGAGACTATTGTTGTGTTCCACATTAAGAACATTTGACACTTTAATTTCAACCTTGATGATCAGTTTTGCCAAGTTTCATCTTTTTAATAGGTCTCAAAGTATGCTTACAGTGTTTTGACAAATACGGTTTCTCATGTATCTATCCAAGGTGACGTTTCTTTTGCGGTTCAGTATAGTTTAGGTATATTTAATACATTACGATACATACATATATATATCTATATATATATATCTATATATATATCTATATATATCTATATATATCCAACAAAAGTTCTTGTGACATTGAATAAGAGTTAATGCAAAGTTATGTATTTTACCAAATCTGAAACAATTTCGGTTTGCAACAGATAAAAGACTCCTGTGAGTGTTCAAATGGTTTAATTTGCCATACTGACTTCAGAGAATGCGTGATTTCATAAAAAACATGAACATGCCAAAATGTCAATTTACAAATCAATAACGTGTGTGTCCACCTCTGTTTGCGATGCAAGCAACACATCTTCGTCTCATGGAATGGACCAGGCGTCGCACAAAGTCCTGTGGGATATCTGTCCATATCTGCTGTTTCGAAGTTCCTGGAGTGTATGGGGAACACGTGGTTGACGTCGAAGGCGCCGATCCATCTCATCCCACATGTGCTCTATTGCTGATAGATCAGGGGAGCGTGCCGGCCTGGGGATGACATTCACGTTGTTTTGTTGAAGAGAATCCTGAACAAGTCGAGCAATATGAGGCCGGGTGTTGTCATGTTGAAAGGTAATGCCTGGGCCATGACTACGCAAAAACGGTCGAATAACAGGGCCGATGATCTCGTCGCGGTAGCGCTGTCCATTGAGATTTACCTCTACCACTATCAAACGGGTCCTCTATCTTGCTGTAATCCCACCCGATACCATAACGCTGCCGCCCCAGAACCGATCTTCTTTCATGACACAATGATTGACCTAACGGATATTAACGTTCACCTCGACGTCGGTACACTCGAATCCGTCCATCGCTGTGGCTGAGGTGAAAACGAAACGGTGACAATCCCTACATATCTGCGGCGACGACGTACGGTTTGTGAAGATATTCGTCGAAGGCCAGGGATGCTTCTTGCAGTCACTGTTGCTGGCTGAAATCGATTTCGTAGGTGCGTTGCTCGAATCCAGTTGTCTTGTCGATTATTGCTTACGCGTGGCCTGCCACTCCGAGGATGGTCTCTGACTGCATTCGTCTGTTGACAACGTTGCCATAAACACCAAATAGTGTTTCTGTGGACGTTAAATTGTCTTGCAACATCACGTTGACTCGATCCTGCTTCAAGCATACCAATGGCTCGCAGACGCTCATTTTCGGACAGGCGTGGCATTTCGTAATGTTGAATAATTGCGTAATTTTGTTGTTTTTCTGAGTGGTTGTTGTCAGCACGATGCTAAACAATGCATATAGAATCCCGTTAACGCATATGTTTTTATACCCATTCTTGGGTGTGAAATGCATGGGGCTTCCATAAAAGTCAACTTTGCATGGAATGCATGCTTTTCTGTAGCAGTTGCGGTTTTTTACTTGATTCCACACATGTACTACAATATTGAAAACCAAACTTTACTTGTTTGAAAAATACACTAAAATATTGGTGTCACAGGAACTTTTGTTGTTGAGCATATATACTCACACGCAAAAGAAACGCAAGTGGTTTTAAGCAAATAGGTAACAAACACGGAACCATAAATTGATACGAGTTTTAGCATGTAGTGAAGCCTGATGGTGTTATCAATATTTTTGGTTGCATTTTGGAAGCCCCGAGTAAAAACGCAACATAAAAAACGAATCGCCAAAACGCACCATTTCAATGAATATGTGGGTATCATGCACCCATTTCTCCCGAAATCGAAAATGCACGAACTGTCACGAACTGTAGTGGGTATAAAACTGTGGCCGATTCTTGGACCTACCACTCCTTGGTCAACAATGCCACGCCTAACTCAAATTAAGAGAAACCAGGCTATCGGACGTTTGGAAGCTGGAGAGTCTGTCCAAGATGTTGCCCGTCATTTCAACGTTAACATAACCACAATTTACCGTCTCCTGCATCGATACAATGCTACACAGACCTCAGATGACCTTCCTCGGAGCGGTCGTCCTAGGGTCGCCACACCTCGACAAGATCGGCAGATTACCCGTCAACGACAGCGACATCCGTTCCTGACTGCAAGTGAAAGTGCTCGACAGACCATAGGAACACATAATCGACACATTAGCCGGGACACTGTAATCCGACGTCTCCGTTCCAACAACCTTAGATGTCGCCGACCAGCACGTCCAGAATTTGGCGGCGTCGAGGTGATCGTTTCGCTGACAGAAACGTTGTGGAAAGGGATCCATTGGGTGGACCTAGCGTCATGATATGGGCAGGGATTGGACTTAATGCGAGACTTTGACCCATGTGCTTTCTGAATGTTGGTCAAGGTCGGGGACACGGCGTCACTGCTCAGCGGTACATCGACCAAGTGATCAGACCCCACGTTGTTCCATTTTTTGCACAACATCAACAACACATTTTCCAGCAGGACAACGCTCGTCCCCATGTTGCCAGAGCTACCATGGCCTTTCTGCAACAACACAACATCCGTGTTCTACCGTGGCCAGCCCTCAGCCCTGATCTGAACCCCATCGAACACTTGTGGGATGAGGTTCAAAGCCGTCTGCGCAATGTGCGCCCAGTCCCTACAACTGCCAATGACCTACGCACAGCTGCTCTGGATGTGTGCAGGAGGATCCCTAGGGCCTTCACAAATCGTCTGATCCACTCAATGTACAGGAGATGTGTGGCAGTGATCAATGCTAATGGTGGTCACACCAGATATTGACTGTCATTTTGGGTATTGACACGAGGACGTCGTGCACGCAAATGCCATCTGTCTGCACCACTTGAAGTGTCTGTGTCAGCCACTTAGCCTGTTAAAGCCTCCAATCGGATGCCACTTGAAGTGTCCGTGTAAGTCACTTAGACTGTGAAAGCCTCCTATCTAACATTGGTGTAGTGTCTTTGTTCAGAAACCATTACAGATAAAAGCTCCCTACCTGTTTAGCAACGCAAGGCGGGCCGTACTGCATCAAAATGCTGGGGAAAGAAGATGTCTTCTTGTACCGGTTATCGTACATGGCTACTGCTTCTGATGCCGACTTCCGCACTGATTGCTGTCTTTCAGCGGATGCCACTAGTTGTAGGCCAACGAAGCAAATGTGCATTCGAAATCTAAAAGAAAATTAGTGATTTCATTGGTGAATCATTGAGACGAGAATTACTCGGCTGGCGTGAATATATCTGAGATTCACTGCGCTTCAGCTGTAATATTGTTAGTGATCTCTGCACTGATAGCTGACCGTGGGCTATGACATATCTCCCACAATAACATGTCACAACAAGAGAAACATTGTATGAGCTGTCATAGATACGTCCCTCACATAAACCAGTTGTTCTGGTGAAGAAATGTTGACAGCGCATGTCAAAACGGCGACAAACCTATTACGCGTGATGAAGAGACACTGAACTGTACGTCACCCCTATGAAATGTTACGCTTTAAATGTATACGTTATCCACCAAATGAGTACGTCACATACATGATAGTGGTAAAAACTTTGCAATGCATTAGTTTAATATGTTATTTCATAATATCAACTTAGAACAATCAGATGTTTGCGTACCTATGCATTGAAGTAGATGTATCTAGGTCTGTTGTCTGAGCCCATATCTAGACTTTCTTTGGCTGTCGAGGAGCTGCCTCATTGTCCGAAATTGTTTATGAATAAACATGATTGCACGAACACCTCACTCGGACAAAAAATCCGGATACAAATCATACGAACGCTCTGTGGGAATAATGTGCCATAGAATAAAAGAAATAAACTTTCTGCTTTGATCTGTAGCGTAATCCGCCGTGGGTTCAGCTTGATTATCCGGATGTTCCTACCAGTTGAAGCCGTCATTGACATTCTGTCCAGGCAAGCTCGAGTTTTATGAATAGTCTCAGTATAGGGAGGTACAATTAAGAATTGTTCTTCATTTGCATGCATCGAAGTATAACAGTCGCCAAAAAAGAAAACAATTCTTATAATTACAAAATCGACCTTTGTCTGATATATTTACACTATTTATCAGCTTTGTTGACAAATTTGATCATTTCGCTGGACATCGTAACACGCGCAAGAATACATGAATACAACTTTTTCGCTACGTCATACAAATAACAAGCAAGACTAAACAATCTTATTGAATGGATACCCATATACTATATATCATTTGTGTTAATGTTTTACTTTCACAGATGTTATGCCTGAGCGAGAAACACTTCAAAACTATTTGTTTTTGGAAGGGACTATATTAATGACGTCATATACCAACCAGCGTGGCATTGGCAACCGAGTCTTGCAGCAGGAGCTAAATTCGTAATTTCAAGCCTGGTTCATGTGAATTGGGAACAGTTTTAGAAAATAGAATTTGTCAAAAGCGGCAAGTTATTGAGAAGCTTGCAAGTTTATTAAACCATTCAAGGGGACACTTGTAGGCTAAAAGTGTTACAGTCTGGATTTGGAAATGTGACGACGGGCACTCGACGTTTTGTGTCAGGACAGCTAACGTTTAAACAAACAAGGGTGTTGGAGTTAATTTGGTGAGCAAGTATGTCACGTGTAATGTAGCGATAATTTATAAATTTATACAATTTGTATATGTCGCTCGCCACAAGTAATGGTCGGTTCGGAGTATATTGTTCCTTAGTGGGGGATCGTTGTTAAACAGCGACATAGTATCCCAGTTGCCTGGCACTATGGAACTGGCATTAGTCCAGACTAGTACAAGCGCGCGCGCACGCACGCACGCACGCACGCACGCACGCACGCACACACACACACACTCAATATATGAGTACAACAATCTTGAACGCGACGTTGAATTTCATTTCATCTCTCTCTGAGTTATATCCAGTCCATGTTGTACATACAATTTGGCCCGGGTCTCTTGATCAGTGCTTTTGAGCCACTTCCGACTTTCATGATGCAAAACGTTCAGCATGGCACTGAAGTCAATTTAAACTATATTTTCCGATATCTAGACGTACGACGTTAGATGCTGCGGCTGTGCCACCAGTGTTCCCTTTGAAGCGAAGGATTTAGTTTATGAATGAACGTGTTTGAGCGTATACATATATATATATATCAATATTCATGCGCAACCGGATTTTCAACTGGTTTGTTAAAGGAACTAAAATTGTTTTTTTATTTACACCTTAAATACATATGTAATGTGGGTAATAAATACGATTTATCGTACAGATACCGTAAAATGTCCATTCGTTTCGTGAAAATGGTGTCTAACGACAATGAGCGTAGTATTCTCTATATATGTATACACTCTATCCAATGTTTAATACATGTCCCTGTATGCAAACTGTATAAACTGTAGTCTTACCTGCCCTATACACTGCGGGTCAATCAGCCATCATCCGTCCTCCTTCGCTTCAACCTATAAGCAGACACATAAGTATGAGAATATTTACAACCTGCCTTGCAGGAACTGTACAACATGCCACGACATCGCTTATCGAGAAGATTAAGTGCAACTATCAGATTTCTCCCTTACAGATTTCCGTGCCGATGTTTGTCAGAAGCGCAGTCCTGTTTGAGCCAATCCAACACAAGGACTGGCTTATGCTCTACATGGAGTTAAGACTCAAAGCTCGGCAGATCCACATATACACAGGTTGCATATTTCCCATAGTGTATTCCACATACACGTGCAGGATGTCCTATTGCATTGTGTGTATTGAACTATTCGGGAGCGGTTTTCAGCAGTAACTCAAGCAGTGGGTCTTCACCGAGCTACTCTGTCACACCAACCCATGCAATGTCCTACTTCACTAACGTTTTCCATGTCAGATCACGTCTTAGTCTCCACGGGGAGTTATCACCAGCCAATGAAATATTGTTGTACAATAAAGGTTTGTTGGTTTGTTGTTTAACGCCGCACTCAGCAATATTCCAGCTATATGACGGCGGTCTGTAAATAATCGACTTAAGTGCAGGTGACGTCATTAGCTGCCCTGATTGGATTAACCGACACTCAGCGCGGATAATGCTAATCTAACCTGAAACATTTAGCTTCGCCGTGAGAGCGGCACATCGACCCGAGGGACGCCACTGGAGGGTTGCGACTTAGGGTCCGATATCCAGATCATGGCCTCTTGTCACGCATCGGTTATATGATTAACCAGCAGTCTCTGAAAAGCACACACAGATAACAGGCTGACATTGCAGGATCATAATACTGGTCATGAAAATTAACACAAATCGTGTACTTTAATATGTTGTACAATACAACTATTTCGATCTGTTACACATTACAACTATTTCGATCTGTTACACATTACAACTATTTCGATCTCTTATACATTACAATTAGTTCACTCTGTTATACATTACAACTATTTCCATCTGTTATACATTACAGATAGTTCGAGCTGTTGCAAATTTGTTAATAAATCATCCATGGACCATCCCACAAGAGTAACTAGACTATCCACTGTAGCATACTTGATCAATGTCACTATGATACTTCCCTCCCTTGCCTGCATACCATGTTACACATCAAACTCCATTGCACATAAATATGTCACAATACAAAAGAAGTTGAGGCACTTCTCTCCTCAGCATGTACAGAATATGACCACGTTCAACCTCATGTCATAGAGCACTTTAACGCAGAGCTAAGGAAATGTCTTATCAATGTTACGTGAGTGAGTACTTTTGTTAACGCCGCTCTGAACAGTATTTCAGTTATGTCGAGGCGTGTCAGCTTGCATGTGGGAGGAAAGCCGGAAATGATGTTCCGTACTTTTCAATTAAACGCCGGTCCTCGAATAAACATCGGGGTCTCGACAAAAACGCCAGGTAGTTATATGCACAGTCTTCTCCACATTATTATCTTTGGGATTAAACGCCGGGGGTAAAATAGTTTCGGAATGAAATATACGCCCGGGCGTTTAATCGTGGAAATAAGGTAGGTCCAAACCGAGAAATATAACCAGGGCGATTCGGGAAGTCGTTTTGGCAAGTATAGGGGACACCACTCTGCACAGTGAAATCATCGATTTGAGCGAGTGAGCGAATTTGGTTTAAAGGGGCTCTCATCTCAGGCTTCCTCTCGGCTGTCTGACACTGGCCGCTGGTATCCACTTGCTGCAGTGAGTCGATTTGCTCGCTAACCCAAATGAGCGTGATAAGAGACTTGACTACCGTCTGCCAAGACAGCTGAATAACTTTGAGGCAATATTTGTTTTACGCATTTTTCAACACTGATTGGTTGATTTCGACAAAAGCGCAGGTTTATTAATTTCTTCGGCCGAAACAAACAGACAAAAAGAACGACGGAAGCTCATCGGTTATCGTTATTTGGAAATATCCCTGCTTCTTATAGTTTAATAGAAATAAAAGTATAAATTAGATATATGTTATTGGAAAACGCAGCCATTGTTAAAAAATGTCATGCAGGAAAACAGTAAAGCAAAGTGCACGCGCAAGTTATGTCATTTGTAACTCGTGGTACTTGCTATAAAAGGCAAGCATAAGCCAATAATTTGTCATTCAATTGTCAACATTTATCAAGTTCGAAAATGCCGAGACTCAGTGCTGCCGATCGGAACATCGCCACATGACGCATCCAATGAGGGGAATCGCAGTCTTCTGTTGCACGCCACTTCAACGTCAACCACAGCACCATTTGCCGCCTTTGGGACCGATACACACAGTTCAATTCCACTGCAGACCGTCCAAGAACCGGCCAACCAAGAGGATCGCTACATTCGACTGTTCCACATCACTGGTTTGAGGAGGATATCGGAAGGGACTGTCGGGAACCATCTTCGCGAGGCTGGAATCCGACCCAGAAGACCAGCTATCGTCCCTGTTTTGCAACAGATCCATCGACTGCGACGCTTGCGTTAGTGACATACCTTACAAGCCTTGGAATTGGAGAAACTGGAGACGAGTGTGGTTTTGCGATGAATCACGATTTCTTCTTCACCGGCGAGATGGAATACAACGTGTTATCGTCTCGAAATGAGCGTTTTTCCCCACATCGTGTACGTGAATTCTACAATTTCGGTGGCGGTAGTGTCATGGTGTGGGAGGCATATCTTACACAACAAGATCTGACTTGGTTGTGGTTCAGGGAAATTTGACATCAAATCGCTACATGAATCACCTATCTCCAATCACTGACCGCCAGAGGGAGCTGTTTCAACAGGACAACGCCCAACAGTACACATCTTGGTAGACTGACTACCTTCGTAATGCATACATCAACGGCTTGCCCTGGTCGTCGAGATCTCCAGATCTCAACCCAATCAAACACCTGTAGGATGAACTCGATCGACGTGTACGTCAACGTCAGATCACGCCAAAGACACTCCTACAACTGACCAACGCGTTACAAGCAGAATGGCGCAGAAGTCCGCAGGACAGAATTGTTACACTTATCCAGTCAGTGACTAGGAGATGCAGAGCCGTGATTGCTGCCCGGGGAGTTCAGCGCAACCTTGTGGCCTTATGTGATATGACAATGAATAGTTTTCAATGCCTTTGTACAACGGCAACATGAGACTATCGAGCTCCAAAATTTCATATTTATATCTATGATATTAAATTAAATATATCGACTTCATTAGGTACAATAGATTTACTAAAAATCTACCTGTGCGTTTCTTTTTTGAAGTTTGTATATTGTATGTAGTAATTAATATAATCGCGACAATGCGACCAATTGACATTTTGGTATGAAACCTAACGTGAGTAGTTGGTGGCAGCGGTCTAGGACCGCTTCTTGCTTCTGATTGGTCGGTTTGGTCACGTGACCTCTGATGACGTCATCAGGTCACGTGACCTGCGCAGGGCATCTCCCCTTCCAAGATGGCGGCTCGGCGCCTCCAAGAGGATAGGAGGAGAGAGGGCGGGAAGGCGGGAGGAGGGAGGGTTTTTTTTTCTTTTTTTTGGTTTGGTTTGGTGGGTGGTGGTGGTGGTGGTGGTTGAGGGAGGTGGATGTGGTGGTGGTGGAGGGAGGTGGATGTGGTGGTGGTGGTGGAGAGCGTCGTCAAAGCAATGGATGAAAGCGTTCTTTCCGGAGGGATGGGTGGCCCTGAAAAGGGCCATTGAAAAACAAACTGGAAACTGGAAACGGCAGGAAACTGTAGAAAAACTGGAACACTTGAAAAACTGGAAACTGGAAACGATTGGAAACTGGAAAAACAGTGGAGCAGCATGTCCCATGCGTTAGTCACTTTGCTCAGATAATCTATCTTCTTCATTCTCCACCTCCTCCTCCTCCTCAGACTGATGACGTCGTCGGCGCTTTGAAAGGTGCTTTCTTGAGGGGCTTCTGTCCCGTTTTCTTTTCCCTAGATGTGGTGTGATGCCTACATGGAGTTGTGCGATGCATTCTTTTAGAGCACGGACATCGATATGCATGGCTTCTATGAGATGAAGCACTTGTGTCACTTGTGTCACTGGTGTCACTGGTGTCGACATGGACGGCGCTGCTGAAGTTTTCTTTTGACTGGGTTCTGGGCAATCTGCAGCGAAATGACCCACGACTTGGCAGTTGTAACATGGGCCCTGGGGAGTCTTCTGCTTATCTTGACTGCTTAACTTCGGACAGACATAGTGGTGGTGACCTTGAGTGTGGCACTCGGTACATGTCACTTCAGGGCAGTACAGGTAACTGTGACTGTCGGTCTGACACTTCATGCAGCTGTATTGAGACGACATGGTTGATTTCATAGAATGCAGTGTGTGTGTGGTTTCGCTCTTGTTTTATAGAAAAGGGACTGACACCCTTCCTCCCTGATTGGTTCAAAATGCAGCGCCCCGATTGGTTCGTTCCGCCGCCTGGTCTGCACCCTGGTTTTCCCAACTGGACCGACCCTTGTGTTTCTTTTCCATAGGAAATGGATTTTACCATGGAAGAGAAAGTACACCCTCGGTTCGACCAATCAGAGCCCAGAACGATCCGAGTGACCCCCCTGATTGGTCCACAACCCAGGCCTCTAATTGGTCAGATTTCGATCCAGTTTTTTCCTGGGTGTGCATTTCGATCCTGTTTTGTTTTTTCTCTCCCTGGTGTGAGCATGCTGATTTCTCCATCCTAAAAAAAAGACAACACAACACTTTTTATTTCCCCGCTCACATGAACCAACACAACAAAACAGAAGTCACAGGATTAGGGGCGTCCCTGTGATTTTTGTGAACACTAGGGTGACCACTAGGGTGTGAACGTCTGTCCATTCCTAAAAACGTAGTGAACAGGAAACTTTTTCACTAGGAGTGAACAAGACACACGGCTCTTCTCTTCCGTTTCTTTTTCCTTTACTTTTACAACGAGCATGTGCACAGACATAACAGACAAACAGACAATGTAGACAACATCTCAACTCAGCCTCTACCCTCGGTTCGTCACCTTATTGGAGTTGAGATCAATCAAGACACAAAGAGTCAGTTCAATCAATCACTGTTTAATAATGAACAACAACAACCAGATACATAGGAAATACGAAAAGACAACTGAGGAGGGAGTGCTTTGCATGTCCCTTCAACAACGCGAAAACTTTTCATCTTCCATCTTCAAGCTCTTCGAGTGAAGATGGGGTCACCATAAGACGTGGTGCTTCATCATATTGACCCAAATATATTCCAAACATGTTTGGGACGCCTCATCAGTAAAACAGGTACAGTCTATGGCCTCTCTGAAACAGAGATGACACATTACTTGACCACTGTTACAGCTTATGTATCTCAGCATATTGTTGTGGCGACAGGCACTACATTCATGTTGTAGGGAAGTGAGTTGAGCTTCTCCATAAGGATCGTCGTCAACGTTATCGTCACAAACCATGGGCATACCTGAGGAGATGACATCCTCCGGTGATGCTGGTGACCAAGAAGCATCAAGCAGGGTGGGTGTGTCCAGATCCATGGTAGGGAGGGCTGTCAGCTTGAGCGCTTCATGATCATCACCGTCACTGGTCGTCATCATCACAGGTGCATTAGGCGAATAGGTTGGCTCCCGAGGGGTTTGTTCCAACCACTGTTCCAATAAGGTCTGCGCTGAACTGACATCGGGGGAAGGAAGGATGGGTGTCCTGTCAATCATACAAGAAAAGAACCCTCCAGTATACCCACGATCATCATCATGCATTTGTAATACTCATCATCATTATCATTATCATCATCATCATAACGACATACACATCCCAAAGAATGGAATGGTACTTACTGTTGTTCTTGATGAGAGACAATTTCTTCCGTAGTCGCCTTTTTGCAGGTGTTGCAGGTTTAAAAAAAGATGTCCCTTTCGTTTTGGTGTCTGCTGCTGCTGCTGTGGTTGGTGCTGTTGTTGTGGTTGTGGTTGCTGCTGCTGCTGCTGCTGCTGCTGTTGTTGTGGTTGATGCTGCTACTGCTTGTTTGCTTGTTTTTTCCTTCTGGGTCTTCTTTATCTTCTTCTTCTTTGGAGCTACTTTCTTTGGTTCAGTCAGTTTCCTTATCTCCTCGGCCTTCGTATGTAACTTGGCGTACACGTCATCGGCCTTTATCTTTGCACATATCACGTCGTACACTTCATCCCACAGTTCAGCTGTCATTTCACCGTTCCCTTCACTGCTCCTTTTACCACCCATGTCGCTCCGTGTCTTGGCATTCATAAGTTTGGACATGATATTGTCCGGATTTTCTGTCTGTTGTTTCTTTCCAAGTCTTCACGGATGTGAGTCAACACTTGATGGTACTCTCTCCAAACACACGCTTCTTCCAGATAAAACGCCAACAGCCAACACAACGTGAGGGACATCAATCAGAGGGACGATGTTGTTGCTTGGACAGTTCAGTGAAAAGTGATGACCAGAGAGCGTCTGTTGGTTTTAAGGTACTGACACCCTGCTTCCTGATTGGTCCGTTCCAGTGCCTGGTCTGCACCACAGTTTTCCAAACTGGACCGACCCTTTTTGTTTCTTTTCTATAGGAAATGGATTTTACCATGAGAGAGAAAGCACAACCTCGGTTCAACCAATCAGAGGTCAGCACAGGCTGAGTGCGACCTCTGATTGGTCCAAAACCCAAGTCTCTTATTGGTCATATTTCGATCGAGTTTTTTTCTGTAGGTGTGCATGTCAATCCACTTTCGATCCGTTGTGACACCCCCAAAATGATCTAGTCGACTCTGCACCCAAAGGGGAGCGTGTCTACAGGCAGCCCTGTGGTTTCATCATAGACGATGTGTCGCTTGTCGTAAACGGTGCGGTAGTTTTTTAAGGTGGGTCAGGTCACAAGAGCGTTCCCGTGCCGAGGCCCTTTACGAATGATTTGATGTGGGTAATCCAAGCTGATTTTCTCCCCCTCCTTCCAAGGCCGTTGTCCCAGTATCAGTCCTTTCATGGTGTCAAAGTTGAGATGTTGTTGGTTTCTGTAATTCAAGGTGAACCCTCGCACTTTGCAGGTCGTGCTTGTTCCATCGGGTCTGGGATTAATTTACTTATAGCTATAGTTTTGGGGGCCTCCTGACACAAACGTCTTGACGGTGTTTCCGTCCAGTTCGTCTGTAAACTCAACCAAAGAATGGCCCAGCTCTGGATTCGTGTCGTGGGGTAGATGAATGTAAATGACGCTGTCCATGTCCAAGACGCTGTCCAAGACCCTGCGACCCACCAGGGCGTGGGTCTCGTACAGCTTGAGACGTGCTTGTGTAGAGACCCAAGCAGCTATGGCGACATTGAAATGAGAATGAGGGGTTTGGAATTCTTCGTTGTGGGTATAGGTCACTTCCACCATGTGTTCGTTGACGACGGTGACATCCTCTATGGTATTTCTCTCCACAAGGCAAAGTACTGGGCAGGGTCGTTTATATAGTCGTTCTGACTATAGTCTAACCATTGTCCAACTTGCCCCAGAGCGAAGTCCTGGGTCTTCTCGAGCGGTCCTTGTCCAACCCAATGCCTTCTTTGTCATAGGTCTCCTGGATGTAAGCGTCGTGATCGGTACATCCCTTGGGGTATCCGCTGGCTTCGAGCTTCTCATTGAAATGACAGTCGATGTAGGAGTCAAAGAGTCCTTCTTGCTGGGTGTCGGGGTCATGCTGTGCAAAGGTGTCGAAATGCCAAACGTTGAAGATCTGAAGCAACTTGTAGCCATACTTCTTCACGGCTTCATGGAGTTCTACAGTGGCGTACATGCCCACCAAAGACCTCTCTTCGTCCGTGTGCTTGGAGGGTGAGTCTGAACGGGTATCGGCACACGTGCGGCACAAAGGACAGAGCAGTTTACCACCCGATCTGTAGGGTAGTAGCGGATGGAAGAGTCGTTTTGGGGGGTAGGACACAATATTGGATAAGTCCTTTCAGCTCAAACAACGTGTCCACAGGTGGTTGATGGAGAAGGGTCGGGTGTCCCGTGGGAAACGCTCCGGTCTTACAAATATAAGGATATACAGATATACGGGAATGGTTTCACCCCCTTGGGCTTCGTAGCATAATCGGGTGGCATTGGTGCATCCTCCATAGAAGGCGTCGCGAGGGTTGAGCGAACCAGGTAAGTGGATACAGTGGGTTCCCTGCAAGAAAGCACGCAAAGTGGAGCTTCTGTTGCATTTTTTTAAACTCGCATTCCATCAGGGTGACGACCCGTTTCACCTCAGGGTGTTGGTTCAAGAGACTCAGGCGGTAGCGGGTGTCGTTATAACGTGCTCCCATCGACGTGCCCAGGACGGGATGAGGTTCTCCACGTTCGGTCTTGTGACATTTCTGACACCCATGCCAGAAACACCCCAGGAATTCGTAGATGGTGCCTGTCGTTGGATCGTAGCCATCCACAATATATCGATGTTTACCATCTCCACACGTGAACTCTTTTTCACCTCCATTCCTGGTGTGCTGGAGGTGCAGATGGGGGTCAGTCTCCATGAGATAACTTAACCAGTGCATACAGGCCTCAAACACGAGTAACAGTACGCATGTAAACATACACGAGTGCCAACACCTCGGCGTGGATGAACGAGTGACAACGTCATAATCATATTGATAAACACAGGGGAGACACAAAGAACATCGCGTAGGCATTCCCACATCACGTTTATGTCTGCCCATGACGGTCCACCTTTAGTATTCAGACGACCGTCTACCTAAAAACATGACTACCCAAAAGAACAGGATCGAAATCTGACCAATCAGAGGCTTGGGTTGTGGTCCAATCAGAGGCCACGCTCGGACCGTTCTGGGCTCTGATTGGTTGAACCGGGGTTGTGCTTTCTCTCCCATGGTAAAATCCATTTCCTATGGAAAAGAAACACAAGGGTCGGTCCGTTTTGGAAAACCGAGCTGCAGACCAGGCGCCGGAACGAACCAATCGGGGCGCTGCGTTTTTGGACCAACCAAGAAGCAGGGTGTCAGTGCCTCTCCTATAAAACAAGAGCGAAGCCAATCACACACACTGCATTCTATGTGATCATCATCATCATGCAAACTAACGAAGAAAATGGGGACTTGGAGCTGGTTTCAGTTGCGCACCCTTTGCCACTGTGCAAAGACTGCCGCTGGGACTTGGAACACATTCCTCCATGGCAATGCAACAAGTGCAAAGGGTGCCTGCCAGTGTATGCGCATGGAACAAGGGCACGTGATGGCACATTCCAGTGTGTCTATTGTAACACCATCCTGAAGGACACTTACATGAGGCGATTATGCCACACCAGTAAGTGTCCTTTCGGGAGACAGGTGGCAGGCCAT